GACTTGAGAGGAGCGCTCCCGTTCACAGGCATGGACAGGGCGGCTCCTTTCAAGTGCAGAATGTTGAACTCTTTCTTCAGGGCTGGGAGCTAACGAGTGCGAACACCCCTTTCAAGAACCCTGGCAACTTCGTTGGAGAGCACGTGGGCACCTACACATATGACATGATGATACTGGCGCGCTGTGTGTGCTGTAGAGAAGCGTCATGCGTTGTCGAGATCGGGTCGCCTCTTAAAGCTACACAGAATGGCCAGTGCAAATGTTCATCGACCAATCCAGATTACGATGTATTGGGTTCTACAGGTTGGGCCGAAACTTCAGAGTGTGCCGAGGCCAAATCGTGAATCAATTCGTAGATGTGTGTAGGAGGGTCACAATCAGCAGGAGCCGCTTGATGTGATGGAAAGAAAGGCTGCTAGCACCGAGGCGACATTCGACGAACATGCCCAGAACGAGGACGCCACTGCCATGACGAAGGCATTCATCAAGATAGTGAATGGTCCATTGCGGGGGGTATTTCCAAGTTACGTGAAGAACGGGGCCATCAGTCAGATCTAGATGGCGTGCGACAGTTCAACATCAGCTGTAATCAGACACTAGATATTGACATGAAGCGTAAGGCAACCTCAAGCAAGCATCGGGAGTAACTCAATGATCGACGGTGCCAAACAATAAGAAACCCACGCAGCGAGACGAATATCAAGGAACAAAGCTATCAAGGCAGATGGCTTGAAAGCGTCGAGTACCGCGCCAGCGACGATATGCAGCAGTGCCAGGATCATCGTCAACAGCAGAACAGTGGGCAGCCCGAATGAGTAAGCCAGCGTGCGATGGTGGATGTTCAGCTGCACCCATGACGTTGGGGGAGATCCAGCAGGAGGTTATTTCACAAAACCGATATGAGCGATAATTCAGCGAGGCCAAGTCCATTACAGCAGAGGGTTGGGTGGACATGACATCAGCGTCGTGGCGTTTCGAAGTGTGGAGTACATGGCCAGCATGGAGCGTGCCAGTTGAAGAATCGCGATATCTTCTTTTTGTCCCAATGTGGCAGAACTCGCGTAGGCCAGAAGTGCGAGGCGGACTTGGCAGCAATGGGGGCGAATTCGACGAGCCCACGCGCGCCCTGGCCATTCTCGGAGGCTTGCTGACTGATGTCGAGTGGCACGCCACTCTTGCTACTAGAATGCCGAAGGGGAAACGACAAGCTAAACTTAGGCGGGGACGTCGATCATGGTGATGTGTGCTACGGGGAGATGTGTGAATGGAGCAGCAATTCGACGCCGCATGCCCGGAGGAGGAGGAGGAAGAGGAGGAGGATGAGAAGGAGGGAAAGGAGGAGGAGGAGGAGGAGGAGGAGGAGCAGGAGGAGGAGGAGGAGGAGGAGGAGGAGGAGGAGAAGGAGGAAGAGGATGAGGAGCGGAGAGTTTTGAGCGGGGCGGCCGGGCTGCGGGAGAGCGTGCGGGCAGCGGCTGGCGTGGCGGCGGCGGGAGTGCCGCCACGTGACCGCGGCAGGGGCACCATGGCGTCCAAGCCCCTGCTGACGCTGTCTGCGCTGAGGGTGGAGGTGGCTGCCCACATGGATGGTGAATTTGGAGGAGGAGGCGAGGGTAACGAAGAGGGCGAGGAGGAGGGTAGGAGGAGGAGGCGGAGGAGGAGGAGGACTGATAAGAGAAAGAGTGGGAGGAGGAGGAGGAGGAATCATAATCACAATAAGAGTAGTAATAATAACTACTAATACGACGATAACGTAGTAAACGTAAGAGTAATAGCACTAACCATCATACTACGAGTAATGCTAATATTAATGCAATGAGAAACATAAAAAACATTGCACGAACCATGACATTATAAGGATGATGTCAGCACTAATAATAACAATAATAATAATACTAATAATACGACTGAAAAGGACGCATCTCACTAACAATACTATAGGAATACAAATACTAATCGCACTGTGAAGAAGAGGATGATGCTGATGATGAGGAGGACGAGGAGGAGGAAGAGGTGGAGGACGAGGAGGAGGATGCAGGAGGAGAAGGAGGAGGAGCAGGAGGAGGAAGAGGAGGAGAGGAGGAGGAGGAGGATGAACAGGAGCAGGCGGAGGCGGAGGCGGAGGCGGAGGCGGAGGCAAAGGAGGAGGCGGAGGAGGAGGCAGATGATGATGATGCTGCTGATGATGCTGATGATGATGCTGATGATGATGGGGAGGAGGAGGAGGAGGAAGAGGAGGAGGAGGAGGAGGAGGAAAAGGGGAGATGAGGAGGAGGAGGAGGAGGCGGAGGAAGACGACGAGGACGAGGACAAGGAGAAGGAGGAGGAAGAGGAGGAAGGGGAGGAGAAGGATGAGGGAGGATGCTGATGCTGATGATGCTGATGATGATGATGATGGTGATGATGCTGATGCTGATGCTGATGCTGCTGCTGCTGATGATGATGATGATGAGGATGAGGAGGAGGAGAAGGAGGAGGATGAGAAATAATAAGAGGAAGAGGAAGAGGAGGAGGCGTATGAGGAGGAAGCTGAGGAGGGAGAAGGGAGTAGGGGGGAGGGAGGCGGGAGGAGGGAGTAGGGAGGAGGCAGGAGGGAGGATGGATACCGGAGGAGGGAGGACGGATCATGGAGGAGGAAGGACGGAGGAATGAGGGAGAAGGGAGGGTGAGGTGGGAGGAGGGAGGAGGGAGGTGGGGAGGGAGGAGGGAGGAGGGAGGGGGAGGAGGGAGGAGGGAGGAGGGAGGCGGGAGGAGGAGGAGGATGAGGAGGAACAGGAGGAGGAGTTGGAGGAGGAGGAGGAGGAGGAATACAACGAGGAGGAGGAGGAGGAAGGAGGAGGAGGAGGAGGCGGAGGAGGAGGAGGAGGAATATGCGTAGGAGTAGGCGTAGGAGTAGGAGTAGGAGGAGGAGGAGGAGAAGGAAGACGAGGAGGAGGACCAGGAGGATGAGGAAGAAGAGGATGAGGATATTCATGAGGAGGAGGAGGAGGAGGGAGGAGGGATGAGGGAGGATGAGCAAGACACATACGAATACTACAACACGATTACGACGAACACGACTACTAAGACAACAAACACCAGTCGTAATGCTCATACTGATGCTACTCATAACACCGAAACCCATACTGATACTACTACTACTACTACTGCTGCTGCTGCTACTACTACTACTACTACTGCTACTGCTACTGCTACTACTACTACTACTACTACTACTACTACTACTACTACTACTACTACTACTACTACTACTACTACTACTACTACTACTACTACTACTACTACTACTACTACTACTACTACTACTACTACTACTACTACTACTACTACTACTACTACTACTACTACTACTACTACTACTACTACTACTACTACTACTACTACTACTACTACTACTACTACTACTACTACTACTACTACTACTACTACTACTACTACTACTACTACTACTACTACTACTACTACTACTACTACTACTACTACTACTACTACTACTACTACTACTACTACTACTACTACTACTACTACTACTACTACTACTACTACTACTGCTGCTGCTGCTGCTGCTGCTGCTGCTGCTGCTGCTGCTACAACCAAACTTAATACGTATAATGCTACCGCTAGTGCGATTTCATCTAACCGTACGAAACAATGTTGTACTACTAATGTTACCAGTGATAGTACTGATACCCATTACACTACTATTCGCTAGAGTATTAACGCCAATACTATTAACACTGCTACTGACATAACTAATAACAGTACGACGAATACTATGAACACTGACACTACCATTACCACACGGGTGCGAACCCTGCTTTTTATTATTCACACGCATCGGAATCATAATGCGGTTGCGACGTATATGAAAACCATTCGCCAGATAGGGACCATACTAATAAGCAGACTCGCACTACTAATACGAATACGAATTCTAATATGAATACCAATCATACTAGGAGGGGGAGGAGGAGGGGGAGGAGAAGGAGGAGGAGGAGGAGGAGGGAGGACGGAGGAGGAGGAGGAGGAGGACGGAGGAGGGAGGACGGAGGAGGGAGGATGAGCAGGGAGGAGGAATGAGGAAGGAGGGAGGAGGGAGGAGGGAGGAGGGATGATGAAGCACACATCGATGTTCATTTGTCAGCAGTGCCTTCTCCCTTCTTCCCTCCTCCTCCTCCTCCTCCTCCTTGTCCTCCTCCTTTTCCCTCTCCTCCTTCTTCTCCTCCTCCTCCTCCTCCTCCTCCCTCCCTCCTCCTCCTCCTCCTCCCTCCTCCTACCACGGCCAGGAGGCTGGAGTGGGAGGTGTGGCGGGGGCAAAGGCAAGGGCCGTGGTGCTCGGAATACTGGCAGGCACATCGCTCGCGAGTGCTGCACCGCCCAGGCCCCCCGCCCCCTCCCCCCCCCACTCCCCCTGCGTGGGGGCGAGGTGCGATTGGGCCGTCCGAGCGCCCTTGCGACAGCAGGCCCTGGACGCGAAGCGATTGATCATTTACAGTGGAGACCCACGCCAAGAAACACCCTGCTCGCCTCCAGGGTGCCCTGGGTTTCTTGGGCTTCGATGGTTTCGCTATGGAAAGCGACGTTACCACACCACAAATCAATGGACGTCCTGGGGTTTCAGGGTTGGGTTTCTTGTGGAAGGTTTCTTGTGGTCGGGCCCCTACTGTAGGTGATCTCGACCAGACCCCGAGAGCGAGCAGGCTACGAAGCGGAGGTTCGTGTGTAGTAGATTTCCGACGGATGCTTCGGGCTAGTTCGTTCGCCCGTTCGTTCTTCCCTGATCCTCCCCCTCCTCACCCTCCGCGTGCGCGAGCTCTCCCGCACGCGGGGTAGCGCTACGTCATATGATCGTGGTGTGCCACAGCCTCGCCTTCCATGCGGAGAGCCGCCGACGTTGCAAGGCATAGCGACTTCCCCGCACACGACGTGACCTCACCGCGCATGGGATCAAGCACCCTCTGTCGCTCGAACCGTGCTCGTCGCCACCGTCGCCCTTCAACCGTAGCCATTTCGACTCAGGCATCGTCCCCCCCCCCTGCGAGCAGGCACTCGCGCGAGAACCCTCGCGGAGTTCCTGCTCCTCCCCCATGCCGGAGGACGCAGGACCCCAGTGGTTCAGGGACAACGTGTCCGCCCCGTGCGAGTCGCGCTTCGTGACGGTGGAGGGCTGCCGCATCCACTACCTCGCCTGGCGGGCGGCGAGGGGGGACGAGGCGACCACGACCGCCCGCCGTGCCGGCCTCGTCTTCCTGCACGGCAACGCGGCCCACGCCCACTGGTGGAGCTTCCTCGCCCCCTTCTTCGCCCAAGACGGGGGGGGGGCAAGACGCGTGCACCGGGCCACCCCCCCCTCTGGCGAGCAAACCTATGCACACATCCTCCTCTTCCTCTTCCTCCTCCTCCTCCTCCTCCTCCTCCTCCTCCTCCTCCTCCTCCTCCTCCCCTCCTCGATCCTGGCCAGGCCCGTCTTCGGGCCCAGGATCGGTGTACATGCCTCCCTGGCCAAGCCTCGAAGGCGTCGGCACTGATCCTGGGCTCAGGATGGGCCTGGCCAGAATCGGTGTATGTGCATAGTTCTCTTTCCTCTACCCCCCTCCCCCCCCTCGGCCTCGCTCCCCGCGGGTGGCTGCTCCTCCTCCCCCCCCTCCACGCGCCAGCACCGCCCCGCCCCCCCCCAGGGCACTCCTTCCCCTGCCCCCTCCCCCTCCCCCTGCCTCCCCTTCCTGCAAGAGAGCTGGGAGGCTCGTCCCGCGCCCCAGTCTTCCAGTATGGTAGGGGTGCGTGCTTCCAGAGCGGAGGAGGGCTTCGCCCCCTAAAGCCTCCGAGAGCTTCGAGGGGAGGCGCGGGTGCACTCCTTCTGCCCCCCTCCTCCGGGAGGCCAGAAAGCCAACGACAGACATAAGTTATGGACACCCGCGGAAGGCATATTCCCCCCCCGCCCATCCCCCCTGCGCCGGATTCCCTCCCAGCACCTCTCCCCTGCCCCCTGCTAAGCGCGCCGGGGGCGGTGCCGAGTGCGCCGCCCATCGGAAGCGAAAGAAGGACATACACGTACATGAATCCACGTCGGTTTCGAGAGTGCGTATTGCGCGAGCGTTGGTATCTCGAGGTTGGTCTCGCGGATTGGGGGGCCGTGCTCGTGTACGTGGTTGGGCGCGTATGTCGTGGGCTCGCTAGCACAGGGATGGTGGGGAGGGGGTCCGGCGCCAGGGGAGCGCTGCTGTCCGCACGTCCGAAGCAGACACATACACACGCACGCACGCACGCACGCACGCACGCACGCACGCACGCACGCACACACGCGCGCACGCACGCACGCACGCACGCACGCACGCACGCACACACGCGCGCACGCACGCACGCGCGCACGCACGCACGCGCGCACGCACGCACGCACGCACGCGCGCACGCACGCACGCACGCACGCACGCACACACGCACGCACACAACACAACAGACGACACACAACATACACCGAACACTAGACACCACACAACACACACCACGCAACACACACACCATACAAAACACAACACAGAACACAACACACAACACACAACACACAACACACAAGGACACACAACATACGACACACAACACACAAACGCAGTGATCTTTCGCGACATCTCGATTTTTTCCCAGCGCCGGATCTCGGGTGTGCCCGCCGCCCTCCGAGGCTGGGCCCGGGATGGGCCGGGTCGCGGCCGGCGTGGCCCGAGATCCGACCTGGCGATAAGCTGCAGCACCGCGTGGCACTCGCGGCCAGCAGGGCTGGACCTAAGCGCTGTTTTGCTGGACCTTCGGCCGTGTTTTGTTCTTCGTTTCGGCAGGAAGGCAGCGGAAGGCACGGGAAAACACGTAGGGCAAACGAAAAACATAACGTATACAAAGCAAAGAGCAGCGTTTAGGTCCGGCCCTGGCGGCCAGAACCCCAGGCCCCGGCTTTCTGCGGCACTCCTCGAGCTGGGCCCGTGCGCGACCGCCCCGGTGCCCAAATCTGGGCGGAGACGGCCGGCGTGCAAAGGTTGAGACGCCCAGATTTGAGTCGAGGCTGCCTGCCCAGCCCTCGTCGCCCGAGTGGCTTCCTGGCCCTCCCCGGCGAGAGTACGACTGCATCGCCGTCTCCTGGTCGGGGCACGGGCGGTCGGGCTGGCGCGACCGGTACAGCTACGACCTCTGGGCGCGGGAGGCACTGGCGGGCTCCTTGGTGGTCCCCAAACGTGGTGGTGAGTACACCCAGTGGTGAGTTTTGGGCGATTTGGGTAATGTTTTTCGAGCGCTGGCTGGCCCAGGAAACGCAAAACCTCGTGGCGACCGCGTGTCCCCAAACCCGTTGGTGACCCAGAATTGCTTTTTGGGGGAATCGGGGTCACCACCAGGTGTCTCACCACCTGGTTTGGAGACCACCAAGCTCCGTCCTGGACCCTGCTCGGTTTGAGCTGGCTGGGGGGGTGGGGTGGGGCATCACGGGTTCCAGCCGCTGGGGGGAGGCACCACCATCGTACATAGGTTTCGTTCCTCTGCTCTCTGGACCGCCTTCTTCAGACGGGCATCGAATGCCGAATTTGCTCCCTTTCCCCTCCTGATTGGTTTTGCTGGTGCCCATCCGGAGCAGACCCCCGGCCACCTCCCCAGAGGGAAGAGGAGGGGGGAGAAGGACAGCCCTGAGAGGGTCGGCTTTGAGGGAGGAGGAGGAGGAGGAGGAGGAGGAGGGAGGAGGAGGAGGAGGAGGAGGAGGAGGAGGAGGAGGAGGAGGAGGAGGAGGAGGAGGAGGAGGAGGAGGAGGAGGAGGAGGAGGAGGGTGGTATTTGGGTTTCGGAATGTTTTCGGGGTTGCTCGGGAGTCTCTTCAGGTGTCCTGGCATTTTTGGTGGCAGGGGGTTGGGGGACGCCAGCTGTTCACTCGCCCCAGCCCTTGCAAGTCCGATCCTGGGCCCAGGATCGGTGCGTGCATACCCATCGATCGCTAAACGCAGGTAGGTATCACGATCAGCTTTATAGCGCACTCCTGCTTCAGCAATCGAAGGTTTACACCTCTAAGCGCATAGCGAACCAGCGGGCCGAGACCCAAACTTGAACAGGAATCCTGCTTCGTGCTTGAACCTGCCCAGACTTCGACGTTTTTGTTGTTCCGTTCTTATTTCAGAAAAGTTATCGTTCATCACTCCCGTCCGGCGCCCCCTGTTTATTCAATCGAAGTGCCCCCTCCCAGGGCTCGTACCCGTTTTTTAATCACGGAAATTCTGGAGGCTCCAAGTTGTGTCCCTCGATGTCAAGGAATCGCGCCCGCGCACGAGAGGTCCTGACAATTTACCCAGGAATCGTGCTCTCGCCCGAGGCTTCTTCACAATGTACGAAAGTCGCTTCGATGCCCCGCGCCCGCCTGCCCGACCCGCCCGTTAGGGTCCGTCCGCCCGACCCGCCTGTTAGGGTCCGCCCGCCCGACCCACTCGCTAGGGTCCGCCCTTTCGCTTGCTTGGAAGCCCGCGCGCTCGCTTTAACGTACTGCCCGTCTGACTCGCCCATTCGGGTGTGCCAGCCCGACTCGCCCGTTAGGTCCGCCCGCCCGATCCAGCCGTGAGGGTCTGCCTGCCGATCCTCCTGTTTCTCTTTCCGCACCCTCCTAGATCTTATTCGTCCTCAAGTGTTATATCTCCCTCTTGCCCCCCCTTCCCTCTCATTTCCCCCCAAAGCCCCACAGCTCTGATTTTCTCCTCGTTCCCCGGAGACATTACTTCTTGCCCCAGGCTGGCTTTCGATTTTCATGGGACTGGGCGAGTAAGGCTTCTTGGCAAGATCAGAGCTGGTGAGTTGGTAATCATATTCTTTATGGATGCGAAACATCTACAGGGAATATAACATGGCGTGTTGCTGAAGCAGCTGTCTATCCCGAATCCTACCTCGTTGGCGGGGCGCTGTGCTTCGGCTGGCACTCTTAGCCCGTGGGCGGGTTTTCGGACGGGGGTTGCGCGTATGTGTTCCTCTATCATGAGAGACTGATTTGGAGAACCCCTGCGATCTTATCCGCTCGTTACCAGCGGGTCAGCGATAGGGACGCGGGCCCTCTGGGTCCTCGCAATTGGGCGCCGAAACTTTCGAGGCCAATTGACGCTTTCCGGAAGCCTTGGGAATCTCCGCAAGCATTCCGAGATTTTCTGGTTTATTACCACCCTGCCCAGGGCCTATGCCCATTTTTGGCCCATGGTCGGCGCGTGTGGAAAGTTAGCGTCAACATCCTCGCATTGCTCCTCGGGTGAAGGGGAGAGGGAGGTGGAGGAGAAGGGTCGGGGTGGAGAGGGCGAGGAGTTTTCGAGGAGAGGGAGGGGATGCGGGGAGAAGGAGGAGGGTAGCATCAAAGAGGGGAGGGGAGGGGAGGAAGAGGATCAGGGACGTGGCTATCTCAACAGCTTCCTTGCCGTCACCCGCCATCTCATCATCCTCCATCTCCTCATCCTTCCTCGGCCTCCTGTCCTCCTCGCTCACCTCAACTTCGTTCAACTCGCCGTCGTCGTTCTCCCGCTGCTCCTCGCCCTCATTCTCGCCCTCGCCCTCTTCCCCTCAGTTTTCTGATCGTCGCCGTCGTCGTCGTCGTCCTCCTCCTCCTGCTCTTCCTCCGCGTCGCCCCTCGTGCTCTCGTCCTGCTTTTCCCGCTCACCCTCCCCTACGGTAGGCTCGTGCGGCGTTGGCGTGCCGGCCACGCTGGCGAAGGCGTTCAAGGCTGAATTCTGCGACGCGGACACCGATGGACACGGTAACGCCATTCGGCCCGACAGAATTCAACCCTGAACGATCGGGGCCGCGATCGGTTCAAGGTTGAACGATCGACGCGGTGTCAGAAGCCTTTGCGCGCGCCGACGCCGCGCGAACCTACCGTACCGCGTCCTGGCCCCAGGGCCGGCGTCCGAAGAGGAACCGTTGGCCCCCACCCCCCCTTCACCGCGCTGGGCCGGGGCGGGTGCCTTACGAAGAGGTGGCCGCCGCCGCCCAGGACGCGGAGCTGCTCGGCGGCGGCCGCCCACGGTGCCCACCGCCAGGAAAAGCTGTGCCTATAGATCCGCCGCCTCGATGTCCCATGCCCGGCCGCGGGCGAGGGGGGAAGCGAGAAGGAGAAGGCCCTGGCTCCTCAGAGGCCCTCGCGCCCTCTCAGAGCTTGTCCGTGTCTTCGGGCAGGGCGCAGGAAGCTGCTCGGGAGGCCCCGGGGGGACTTCCGAGCCCTCTGAGGAGGGCCTCCTCCTCACTCCCCCCCTGGGCTCGCCGCCGACCCGTGCACCCCGGCGCCTCCAGAATCCCGAGGCGGCCGGCCTCTCGCCCGAGTGTGGCCCCTGGAGGCCGGCTTCGGGGCTCGGGGCCGTCCACAGGTCGGGCGGACGGCAGCCGGAGGGGCACTGGTCGGCGGCGAGGGGAGGCGGGAAGCGAGGAGGAGACGGTCTGCTCGGAAGGTTCGGAGGTCCCACAGCCTTCTGAGAGGTTTCCCAAGCCTTCCCCGAAGACACAAACAAAAAAACTCTCAGAAGGCGCGTGGGCTTCTGAGAAGGCCCGCCGCCTTCTGAGAAGGCCTTCTCCTTCTCATGTCCCCCCCTCGCTCGCCGCCCAAATAGGCGCTCTGGGGGATCGAGGACAGGGCGGGACCTAAACACTGTTTTGCTTTACTTCGGGTGTGTTTTGTTTTTTGTTTCGGTAGGGAGGTACAGGGAAGTAGGTAGAGCAAAACGAAAAGCAAAACGAAAACAACAGGAAAGACAACGTTTAGGTCCAGCCCTGATCGAGGATGGCAGGAACGTGGGCTGGAGGGGGCCCTCAAGTGCCCATGAACTGCCGCCGCGGGCCCAAAACGTGCACGAGGGGTGCATGCTTCCCCACCCCGCGTCTGCTGCCCCCTCCGGTGAAGTGCTCCCGGAAGTCAGCCACGCGCAGAGGGGGGTGGGGGGAGGGGGGACGGCTTCTCAGAAGCACCCCGGCTTCTTAGAAGGCGCGGGCCTTCTCTGTAGATGTAAGGCCGGCGCCTTCTAAGAAGCAGCCTCCTTCTAAGAAGCCTCCCCCCCCTCCCCCTACCCCCTTCTGCGCGCCGCCAACCACCCCACGTCTGTTGCCCCCTCCAGTGAACTGCTCCCGGAAGAACGAATCGGGATGAAAAGCCGGCCCTGGGGAAAGGGTCGGGGCGTCTGGGGGGCCACGCATCGAACAGCACGTCGGACGGGACCAGGTCGGGGATACAAAATCTGCTCCAGAGTGCCCTGGGACACTCTCAGAGCGTTCCGGAACGCTCTGAGAAGGCCGCGGTGCACGAGACACCCTCCAGAACGGCCAGATCTCAGATATTCCCGTTCTTCAAGGGAAGCAAAAACCACCCGGACCCGAGAATTCGCGTTTATTAAACGACCCTGGGCGTTTACTAAACAGCCCTGCCCTGTTCGATTCCTTCCTTGGTTGGGTGCGTTTACCAGACGGCTTTGCCTAGCGGGGTGGTGCTTCTGGGGGTGGGTTTGTTGCCCTCTGGATGTATCCTCACCCGGTCCTGGCTTCGTCTCGGGGCCCTCGAAGCCCCGGGTGCCTGGGGTCGTGGGTCCCAGGGCCTCGGGGGGCGGCGGCGCTCCAGAGAGGGCGTCGACGGCCACCACCGCCCCCCTTGGGGGGCCCCAGGGCCCCCCGCGGCCGCGCGGAGACGGGCGGGCCTCTCGCGGCCCTGGCGGGGGAGTGCTTCTGCACCAATCGGACGTGTGGGATTTGTTCTTTGGCGAGGACATGGAGGAGCATCCTCCGAAGATGAACAAAACGCCATAAGCATAAACTCTTGGCGCTCCGCGCGGGTTTCTTGGATCTGCGCTGGGCCCCGCTCCATGGCGCGCGGAGCGCGGCAGGGGCGGCGTCGGCTGCGCCGCCGGCTGCGCCGCCAGGGGGGTACCAGCCCAGCGCGGATCCAAGAAACCTTCTCGGAGCGCCAGAAGTTTATGTTTATGGTTTTTATCCTTCTTCATCTTGGGCCATCCTGCGACAAAATGCACGCACGAGACCGGAAAAAGGCACGGGGAATGGCCGTCCGAGCGATGGCGAGTTCAGGGCACAGGCGCGGGAGGCGCAGAGATGGGCGCGCGCGTCGTCGTGCTTGCCGCGTGGCGCGAGGCGCGAAGCCAGGCGGCCGAGGGGCCCAGACTCGCGGTGGCTGGCCTCTGCTGCGGTCCAGGGGGCCTCGGCCGCTCCCCCGGCGGCAGCTCCTCGTCGCGGACCCGCTTCTGGTGGCCCGAAGTCACCGAGCGCGCTCCGCTACTCGCAGAGTGCCTCCTCGCAGACGTTCGAAGGGCACGTGGCTTCCTCTGCGCAGCGGCTCGTAGAGCCCGCGGCGGCTCCAGGCCATCTGCGAGTAGCCACTTTGCGAGTCGTGGAGCGCGTTTGCCTACGAAAGCAGCCCGAACGCGGCCCCTCGAGGCCGAAGCGGCTGGGAGACGCCCGGATTCATCACAGCCGCCCGCCCGAAGTCTGGGGACCTTCCATGGGCGCCGAGATCTCGTGGTGGTGCATGGTCGGCGCCAGTCCAACATACGAATATCATGTGTGCGTCGCCCCGCCCCCCCCCCCCCCCAGTGTGCGTCGCCCCTCCTCCCCCCCCCCAGGGGCGACGCGCGCGCCGAGGAATCTTCTAGTATAAGCTCCGTGACGCGCGCTTTCTGGTCATACCGCTCGGGAAACTGTATATACTGCAAGATGGTTACGGTAGGTTTGCGTCGTGTCGACCAGCGGCGACCCCAGCGCGGGCGTTCAAGGTTGAACGCCGCCGGCGACCCATAATCGATCGATGTTGAACGATCGGACGTTGCGGCAGCGGCCGATCGTTCAAGGTTGAACGATCCCTGCGGTGTCAAAAACCAACGCTGGGGTCGGCACGACACGAACCTGCCGTATACTGTATGTTCGGATCGGACGCACGCCTCCAAGGAGGACATATAGCACGAGTATGTCCTTGTGCGCCCCGCGCGGTGCAGGCCGATCCTGGTGGCGCACAGCATGGGGGCGGTGGTCGGTGCCGCGGTCGCCCGGCAGGGGCCACGGCGGCCCCGCTCTCTCGAGGGGCAGCGGGGCTCCCCACCACTCGATCGATTCCTCCCTCTCCCTCCCCTCCCCCTCCCTCCCTCCCTCCCTCCCTCCATCTTTCCCTTCCCTTCCCTCCCTCCCTCCCTCCCTCCCTCCCCCCGCCCTCCTTCCCTATCTTTCCTTCCTCTTTCCCTCCCTCGTCTCGCTCCGGCCTCCCCTCCCTCGTCCCCTGACTCACCTCCCTCCCTCTCCTCCCTTCCTGCCCCCCTTCACTCTCTCCCTCCCTCACTTTCCCCCTCCCTCCTCCCCCAGGCCTGGTTTCCGTCGGGAGTGCCTTGGCCGTCCCTCTCACCCTTGGCAGAGGCTGCCCGCGATGCGCTCGGCTCGATGGTGCGTGCCGACTGGTGGCGTGGTATCGGTCTGCGATTGAAGGGCAGCCTTTGGCCAGCCATGGGCAGACGTGGTCGTGAAAGTTGAATGAAGCAGTCAAGCAGACCCTGGCAGGTCCGAAACAGCAGCCAATCGACGTCACCCCAGCATACTTGTACTATGTGTTCGTCGCCCCCCCAGGGTCGACGCGCGCACCGAAAGATCCTATAGCATCTGCATCGTGGCAGGCGTTTTCTGGCCACACCGCTCGGGAACCGATATGCTGCAAGATGGGTATACTATATGATCGAGTCGGACGCGCGCCTCCAAGGAGGACATGCAGTACCAGTATGCCAGCAGCGGTGCTAGACTTGTGCATATGGGCAGTTTTTTGTTGGGGGGCCTCGGGCCACGGAGGAGGAGGAGGAGGGGGAGGAGGAGGAGGAGGAGGAGGAGGAGGAGGAGGAGGAGAGGAGGAGGAGGAGGAGTAGGAGGAGGAGGAGGGGGAGGGGGAGGGGGAGGAGGGGGAGGAGGGGGATGGGGAGGGGGAGGGGGAGGAGGAGGAGGAGGAGGGAGGAGGAGGAGGAGGAGGAGGAGGAGGAGGAGGAGGAGGAGGAGAGGAGGAGGAGGAGGAGGAGGAGGAGGAGGAGGGGGAGGAGGAGGAGGAGGAGGTGGATGAGGTGGAGGAGGAGGTGGAGGAGGAGGAGGAGGAGGAGGGGGAGGAGGAGGAGGAGGAGGAGAAGGCGGAGGAGGAGGAGGAGGAGGAGGAGGAGCAGGTCCACGCGCTCTCGACCTCGTCGCTAACATACAACCATCGCGTCTTCAACGGCCTCACCAAGAAGGGCCACGACCACATCGCCTCGCAGCACATGGAACCCTATCGCGCTGCGGCCTCGCTGCCCAAGACCAACAGCCCCGAGAAGCACATCACGCTCAAGGAGGCCGTTGCGAAGACTGGACTGCTCGACTTCGATGCCCACCAGACGGCAGCACGGCTACGCTACTTACCTCGTCTGCTTCAACACGGACCTGCAGCCTTGCTCCAGCCACTCGACGGCCACCGGCAACGGAAGGGCACCTGGAGCTACCAGCTGAAACAGGACTTCGTCTCCCTCCGCAAGTACCTGCACCCTGACAGGTGTCCCGATAAGGGCAGGCAGGACGGCGACATCATCGCATGGGCACGGAAACGACCCAAGGAGCTTAGTAACGCCGTCGAAGCTGCGATCAAGGCCTACATCTGCCACATCCGCGACCAGGCCCAGCACGAGAAGCTCACCAAGGGCCTCAAGATGCACCCGGCCTCTCCGAGCACAGCGACCGCCGACTATGCCATCCTTCAGATCTGCGTCTGCTACGTATGCGGGCGGACCACCAAGACGAAGCAGGGTGTGGCAGTGCACATCGGCAGGGAGCACACATACCTCACGAACCCACGGCTTTGGGCAACAGGCACGGCCTGCCGAGGCTGCCAGATGGAGTTCCACAGCTTCTCGCGCCTCGTTAAGCACCTGACCTTGGCGCACCGCTGCCGCAAGTGCTGGTACGCCTGGCACTGCATGACGCAGGAGCCCGTAACCGAGCAGCAGATCACCGACAACCGTGAGGCCATCGCTACGACCACGGCAGCCAACAAACAGCAAGGACGACCAGCAACCTACAACGAAGTCCCCGCCTACAAGACGGCCGTCACGCCAGTACCGTTACTGGACACCTCACCCGTCGCGCCGAAGCTCTACGCTACGATACGGGCCGAGAGCCCGCAGCCTACCACGACAGCACAGCCCGACGCCGCAGACCGACAGGCAATCGGATTCCTCACCGACCGACCGAGCCTGCCAGGAGACCTCCAGCAACTGATGGCCAACTGCACGATCTCATCCATGAGCGGAATGGACTACATCACGATCGAAACCAGCAGCTACGGGGAAGCGACAGCATCGCGCGACGGTCTGGACCAGGTCCGCACCAAGCTACAGCACGGCAAGACTGCAGCGGTAGATGCCGAGATTCCGAAACTCACATGGTTACGACTACGGTCCGACAGACAGTGCAGTATACCTAGACGACCGCCCTGCGGGCGATAAGGAGGTTGGGGGGGATTGAGATCAAATGCCCACCCTGACTGACCTCCAGCCTGTCACTTTGATCTCATCTTTCTCTTTCTCTCTGTCTCTCTCTCTCACTCTCTGTGTCTCTCTCTCTCTCTCGCCGTCTCTCTCTTTCTCTTTTTCCCTCTCTATCAGAGTCTCCCTCCACCACAATGATGTTCGCGATGGCGTTGAGATCCCACTATCTACCTATCGGTTGACCGACCTATCGGTGAATCTCACTGGACAAGAAGATTGATAAGCTGGATTGGATAAGAGAGCCCGCCACATGCGCCAACAAAATTGAATTGATGGATTGGGTTGGGTGGATTGGATCGGATGGGACAATATGGATAGGATAGAATAAGATGGGTTGGATTGGAATACGTGGATAGGATCAGATAAGAAGGATTTGATTGGCCCGCCGCAGGCGCAGAAAACAATGAATTGATGGATTGGGTTGGGTGGATTGGACTGGGTGGGATAAGATAAGATGGGACAATATGGGTTGGATAAGATTATATGGATTGGATTGGACAAGATGGATTGGATACGATCAGCTGGGATGGGTAAGAAAGCCCGCCGCAGGCGCCGAAACAATGAATGATGAAATTGGCGACATGCGTTAGCGCCAGGACGCCCGGGACACCCGGGACACCTGGGACACCGCCCGGCCCAACTGGGACACCTCCCGGCCACCGGCGGACGGGAAACGGACTTTCGCTCCTGCTGACACCCGGGACACCGGGGACACCCGGGACACCGCCTGGCCCAACTGGGACACCTCCCAGCCACCGGCGGGCAACGGACTTTCGCTCCTACTTCGGCCTAGCTAAAGGAGGATGACGCGCAGCTTCGCCTCGCCCGCGCGCACGACATGAACACGAAACCGAAACCGATTTCCCGGTGGGGGGTCTCCGTTTCACTGCGATCTCGCCCCCCAACCTCCGACTACGCTGGGAGAATCGTGCACGCGATGCGCTCTGGGGAAGAGCCGATATTTCAGAGAAGATCGCCAACCAGCTCTACAACGCCAGCACCGTGACCAGGGAAGTGCTCGCTGTAGACCCCGCTTGTTGCCATCCACAAGCTACCGTCGGACCATCGCGCTGAAAGGTGTACTGGCTGGGAGCTCCCCGAGAAGCAGCACATCGCCAACCGCCCGTTGGTGACCAGAAGCACAATACCAGTTAGGAAAGGTCAAGATCATCGCGAATGCTATTTTTAATCGGGGTCTCACCCATGAAGGAGGCAAGCGCTGACGACATCGATGCAGTGACCGCCGAAGTGCTTGGCGTCATGATCATCGCCAGGTGGGGCTTCAAAGCGTATCGTGCTGCCCCGGGCGCCGACATGATCGCTGCGCTGGACCCGATGGCGTGATCTCAGAGACCGCTTCAATTTCAGCCTCGACTCAGAAAGGAGAGGTGGGGCGCTGGGCTCCCCGAGAGGATGCTCGCAGCCCCGAGAGGCCGAAGGGCGAGCCTCTCGTCCCCCACGTACGATGCGGGAGGGCGCTGAGCCAGCCTGGCCCCCAGCGCTGAGACCACCATGAACCGCCGCGCGTGACGCCAACGACGTGATGTCAGAGACCGCCTCACTGACAGCCTGGACTCCAGAGCGGAGAGGAGGAGCGTCGTGCTCCTCGACGGGAGGGTCGCAGTCCCGAAAGGCCGAAGGGCGAGCCTCTCGTCCCCCGCGTACGATGCGGGAGGGCGATGAGCCAGTTTGGCTCCCAGCGCCGAGACTGCCAGAGACCGCCGCGCGTGACGCCTACGACGCAATCTCAAAGACCGCCTCGCCGACAGCCTGGACTCCAGACCGGAGAGGAGGAGCGCCGTGCTCCTTGACCAACGTCTCGCAGTCCCGAGTGGCCGAAGGGCGAGCCTCTCGCCCCCCGCGTACCATTCGGGAGGCCGCTGCGCCAGCCTGGCCCCCAGCGCCTAGACCACCAGAGACCGCTACGAGTGACGCCTACGACGCGATCTCAGAGACCGCCTCACCGACAGCCTGGACTCCAGAGCGGAGAGGAGGAGCGGCATGCTCCTCGACGGGAGGGTCGCAGTCCCGAAAGGCCGAAGGGCGAGCTTCTCGCCCCCCGCGCACCATGCGGGACGTCGCTGAACCAGCTTGGCTCCCAGCGCCGAGACCGCCAGAGACCGCTGCGCGTGACGCCTGTGACGTGATCTCAGAGACCGCCTCACCGACAGCCTGGACTCCAGAGCGGGAAGGAGGGAGGCTCGCAGTCCCGAGAGGCCGAAGGGCGAGCCTCTCGCCCCCCGCGCACCATGCGGGACGGCGCTGAGCCAGCCTGGCCCCCAGCGCCGAGACCGCCAAAGACCGCTACGCGTGACGCCTACGACGTGATCTCAGAGACCGCCTCACCGACAGCCTGGGCTGCAGAGCGGAGAGGAGGAGCGGCGTGCTCCTCGACGGGAGGGTCGCAGTCCCCAGAGGCCGAAGGGCGAGCTTCTCGCCCCCCGCGTACCATGCGGGACTTCGCTGAGCCAGCTTGGCTCCCAGCGCCGAGTCCGCCAGAGACCGCCGCGTGTGACGCCTGCGACGCAATCTCAGAGACTGCCTCATCGACAGCATGGACTCCAGACTGGAGAGGAGGAGCGCCGTGCTCTTCGACGAGAGGCTCGCAGCCCCGAAAGGCCGAAGGGCGAGCCTCTCGCCCCCCGCGTGCCATTCGGGAGGGCGCTGAACCAGCCTGGCTCCCGGCGGCGAGACCGCCAGAGACCGCTACGTGTGACGCCTACGACTGATCTCAGAGACCGCCCCACCGACAGCATGGACTCCAGACCGGAGAGGAAGAGCGCCGTGCTCCTCGACGAATGGCTCGCAGCCCCGAAAGGCCGAAGGGCGGCCTCTCGCCCCCCGCGTGCCATGCGGAGGGCGCTGAGCCAGCCTGGCTCCCGGCGCCGAGACCGCCAGAGACCGCTACGTGTCGCCTACGACGTGATCTCAGAGACCGCCCCACCGACAGCATGGACTCCAGACCGGAGAGGAAGAGCGCCGTGCTCCTCGACGAATGGCTCGCAGCCCCGAGAGGCCGAAGGGCGAGCCTCTCGCCCCCCGCGTACCATGCGGGAGGGCGCTGAGCCAGCCTGGCTCCCGGCGCCGAGACCGCCAGAGACCGCTACGTGTGACGCCTACGACATGATCTCAGAGACCGCCCCACCGACAGCATGGACTCCAGACCGGAGAGGAAGAGCGCCGTGCTCCTCGACGAATGGCTCGCAGCCCCGAGAGGCCGAAGGGCGAGCCTCTCGCCCCCCGCGTACCATGCGGGAGGGCGCTGAGCCAGCCTGGCTCCCGGCGCCGAGACCGCCAGAGACCGCTACGTGTGACGCCTACCGATCTCAGAGACCGCCCACCGACAGCATGGACTCCAGACCGGAGAGGAAGAGCGCCGTGCTCCTCGACCTCGCAGCCCCGAGAGGCCGAAGGGCATGATCATGCGGGAGGGCGCTGAGCCAGCCTGGCTCCCGGCGCCGAGACCGCCAGAGACCGCTACGTGTGACGCCTACGCATGATCTCAGAGACCGCCCCACCGACAGCATGGACTCCACCGGAGAGGAAGAGCGCCGTGCTCCTCGACGAATGGCTCGCAGCCCCGAAAGGCCGAAGGGCGAGCCTCTCGCCCCCCGCGTGCCATGCGGGAGGGCGCTGAGCCAGCCTGGCTCCCGGCGGCGAGACCGCCAGAGACCGCTACGTGTGACGCCTACGACATGATCTCAGAGACCGCCTCACCGACATCCTGGACTCCAGAGCGGAGAGGAGGAGCGCCGTGCTCCTCGACGGGAGCGTCGCAGTCCCGAGATGCCGAAGGGCGAGCTTTTCTCCCCCCCGCGCACCATGCGGGACGTCGCTGAGCCAGCCTGGCTCCCAGCGCCGAGACCGCCGGAGAAGGTCTGGGGGCCTCCGCGGCCGCCAGGCTGGTGGCCGCAGTTGCAAAGAAATGAAAGGCTGGTGGCCGCCAGGCCGCCCAGTCGCAAAGCAGAGAAGGTCTGGGGGCCAAGCACCCACAAGTACGCGCTCGGGTGAGAGCGGCCACGGGGACTCGACCGCAAGGCCGGTACTGAAAGCGGCTGAAAGTGGGAGCAAGAGGAGCAGGAGGACCAGAGTAAATACAGGATGCGTTAACGCTGTTGCAGCACGGCCTCCTGTCCCAAGATCTCTCCTCACGAATCCTTGCAGGCGCTGCTTTCCACTGCGGGGAGCGTCCCCTTGAATGATGAGCGCCCAGTGGGCCGGCCTCTTAGGCAACTTCCAGTGTTGTCAAGGGTCCCATATGTCCATCTAGGAAGAAGCAACGAGGTATAACGAGACTGTGATAGGGAGTATCCAGCGATAGCCGAAAAAATATGCTTCCACCCGTGTGGGCGTTGCACAGGCTCATTGTTTTGGTTTGTCAGTTGCGGAAATATCACGCGAGAGCCCCATGTCGAACAGGAGCTGCACTCCATCCGTATAATCACTGCGCAAGTGGAATTTCGGTCACAGATGGTTCGCAGCCTTCCCCATTTCCTGCCCCCTCTCTCTCTCTCCCTCTCTCTATTTCTTTCCCTCGTCCTCAAACGCCATATAGTTGCGCTGGAACAGATGAGTCTGAGGAGGTCCCAAGCGTCTGCCGCATTTTGAGCACGAAGTGGCTTCTACCCGAGTCAGTCGGGGGGGCGTAAAAACGAACGAGCGCGGCGCTAAAGAGAGAGCCGCATTTTGAAATTGAGCGGCCCTTCATCTCTGTAATTCTTGGAGTTTTAGCATGGGGATGGTCGATTGCAAGGGGCTCCGGCGAAAGGCCCGGCCCCCGCCGACGGACACGCCTGGTGGTGCGGCAGGTGCAGTGCGTGCGTGCGTGCGTGCGTGTGTGTGTGTGTGTGTGTTCATGAGGCAAAAGGATACGGGAGGAGTGATAGGACCAGAGTAAGCCCAAGATGTATCAGCGATGCTTCGAAGGAACAACAACCATAACCATAAATTGCTGGCGCTCCGCGTGAATTTCTTGGATCCGCGCTGGACCCCCCGGCGGCGCCTCCGGCGCCTCCGCGCCAGGGAGGGGGTTCCAGCGCAGATCCAAGACATCCGTGCGGAGCGCCAGAAGTTTTTTTTTGTGTTTTATATTTAAAATGTTGTTTCTCCTCCCCGCCGTTTTTTTTGGGGTATATATATATATATATATTTATAGATAGTAATATTTATTTTTGTCTGTTTCTTTATATGTAAAAACAATGCTACAACACACCCTCCCGTCCCGAGTCCCCGCCTCACGAGTCCCCACACACCATCCTTTCCACTTCGAGGGGCGCCCCTTGGAACGGCCAAGTACCTCACGGGCCTGCCACGCGAGCGAGGGCCCTGGACTGCCCTGCCTCTCTCCTGCGAGCAGCAAGCAACGCGCAGGTGTATGATCACACAATTCAGAGAGGTGTCCAGCGAGATCCCTGTCTTGAAGAGGTGACCTCCCCACCTGTGTAATTGCTGCACAGGTTTTCGCTCATGGCCGTGGGCGTCAAGGAACTCTCATGCGAACCCCCCGTCCGTACAGTTGCTGCATCTGGTCAAGTTTGTGGTCCTTTGAATTGCGCAGGCCTCGAGCGAACGCAACGTTTTGCAAAGACGCCGCCCTTCATCCGCGCGCCTGTTGCATCTGATCAAATGTAATATGTTATTTCAAGGGACTCCCAGCGAATACCCCATTTTGAAACGGCACCGCCCACAATCTTTGCAACTGTTGCAAACGTTTTAAGATGTATATGCACGGCGCTTAAGCAAGAGCCACACGTTGACAAGGTGCCGCCCTCCATCCTTGAAGTTGTTGCGTTTGTTCGACGAATGCGCACGGTGCTAAGGCGAGAATCGTATTTTCTAAGGGAGCAGCCCTCAATATGTGAAACGGTTGCCCACATTCAGACGAATGTGCGCGGTGCTACGACGATACATCCATTTTGAGAACGAACCCTCCATCCGTTAAGCTGTTGGAAACTTTGAAAACGAATGTGTGCGGTGCGAAGGCAATAGCTGCATTTTGAACACGCCCCCCCCTTCTTGAAGCGGTTGGAGATGTTTAAGATGAGTGTGTTTGGCGCTAGGGCGAGAGCCACGATTGATCCCACCTCCATCCTTGAAGTGGTTCGAATCTTCGCGTTTCAAGATCATAAGCGGTGACGAAGTCTTAGGCGAAACGCCCCGCCGCCGTGCCGACGCGTCAAGTGGTGCGACAGGGAGAGGTTACTTGTAAGGAAAGGCGGTGGCGGTGGGGGCGGAGAGAGGGGGAAGATCTGCACGGGGTGGGAGGAGAAGGGGGGGCGGAGGAAGAGGAGGAGAGGAGGAGGAGGAGGCGGAGGAGGATGGCCAGGAGGAGGAGGAGAAGGAGGAGGAGGAGGAGGAGGACGAGGACGAGGAGGACGAGGAGAAAAGAGGAGAGTCAGGGTCTGCTCGGTTTCTCGTGTGCCCCCCTGCCCCCCCAGAGGGGCGGGACCACCGTGGTGGCAGCGGGGGAGCGCGCTGGGGGGGCTGCTGCTCTTGGACGAGCTTCCCAGGCATCCTCTCTCCCGCCTCTCCCGCCCTCTGCTCTCGCTGCCAGGGCATCCACGGTCGCGGCCGCCGAGCAGTGTCGGCTCTGTGAAGGCCAAGGGGTACCAGGATGCCGCCGTGAGCTCTCTGCGGCTTCCTCTGCTGGGTGCCGCGTCCCCTCTTGGCCCGGTGGCAAGTGTGGTGTCTCACGGCGAGACTTTGTGCTTGCCAGCGCGGGCCCTCAGCATGGCATGGTTCCTCAGACGGTGCTCGCACTGCTCGAACTCAGAGTTTCTTGCTTCTCTTCTGAGGAGCTGGGCCTGTCTGCATGTCCGGCGGCTACGTTGTCACCGTCGCCGCCCCGTCGCCCGCTGCCTCGCACACATTACACCGCATAGATTGCACCGCGTGGATTTCGCCGCAGAGATTCCACCACATAGATTTTCCTTTCTAAGAAGAAGATAGGTTCTACCACCCTCCCCCCCTGGGCTTAAAGACCCCGAGGGAACCGATGCAAAACAAATAGGGTTCTGACCCAATGTCCATCCTACCTGTGAATTCATACTATCCCAGCCAAGCCGGTATCGCCCCCCTCCGCCATCCTCTGCAAAAAACTATGCGCGCACATTCGTTTATCAAAAATATTAAGCTTTCAAGAATCCCTTGCCAAAAATGGGACCAAGTTCACACGCGCGCGTCGTCGCGCGTGCATGCCGAAATCCTTCAAAAACCGTCGGTTTCGGAAGGATTGCAAAATCGGGTTTCCAGAAAACATACAAAAACACATAGTTTCGCAACACTGATTCGCGAAAAGAACTTACGCGCGCGCGCTCTTGCGAAGTCTTAAGAATACCACAGGCTTTCAAGATTTTCAAAAAACAAACTACCAAACGGGCTTCGCGCGCGCGCATGTCGAAATTGTTCGAACGCCTTTGTGCGCGTGCCGTCGCGAGAATCTTCTGCAACAAATGGGACTTCGGCACGCGCGCGCGTCGTCGCGCGCGCATGCCGAAGTCCTTCAAAAACCTTTGGTTTCGGAAGGATTTCAAAATTGAGTGTCCCAAAAACATACAAAAAACAGAAGGTTTCGCAACGCGTATTTTCAACAAAAACTTGCGCACGCGATCTTGCCTCGTCGTTGTCGTCGTCGCCGTCCCTCCTCCCTCGTCGTCGTCGTCGCCGTCGTCGCCTCTGTCTTTCCTCGTCGTCGTCGTGGCGTCGTCGTCGTTTCCGTCGTCGTTGTCGCCGTGGTCGTCCTTCCTCCTCCCTCGTCGTCGTCGTCGTCGTCGTCGTCGTCGTCCGTCGTCGCCGTCTCGTCGTCGTCCCTCCTATTTCGTCGCCGTCGTCGTCGTCGTCGTCGTCGTAGTCGTCGTCGTCGTCGTTGTCGTCGTCGTCGTCGTCGTCGTCTTCCCTCCTCCCTCGTTGTTGCCGTCGTCGGCGTCGCCGTCCTCCCTCCTTCTTCGTCGTTCGCGTCGTCGCCGTCCTCCCTCCTCCCTCGTCGATGTCGTCGTTGTCGCTGTTGTCGTCCTCCCTCCTCCCTCGTCGTCGTCGTCGTCTTCGTTGGCGACGTCGTCGTCGTCGTCGTCGTTGTCGGCGTCGTCGTCGTCGTCGCCGGCGTCGTCGTCGTCGTCGTCGGCGTCGTCGTCGTCGTCGGCGTCGTCGTCGTCGTCGTCGTTGTCGCCGTCGTCGAAATCGTTGGAGACGCCGTCGGTGTCGTCGTAGTCGGCGTCGGTGATGTCGTCGTCGTCGTTGCCGCTGCTGTCGTCGGCGTCGGTGTCGTTGCCAAGTGCCATTTGGTACCTACCGTCACGGTCTTAAGAGATCTTGCGACCAAATTGCGGGCGGGAGGGTGGGATGTTTGCACGAGCAGTGGAGAGGACAGCTTCAAGTTGAGCAAGTGATCGGTTGCACTACAAAGATTGCACCATATAGGTTGCACCACATAAACTGCACACGCTTGATCTCGCCACATAGCCACCCCATATATTGCACCGCATATAGCCTCCTAAAGGAATCAGGATCCATCTCCCCCAGAGACTATCCGTTGCTGTTCTCGGTGGTGGCTTATACACTATATGTATATGTATATGTATATGTATATATAACATATGGTATATATAATTCAGACCCCTTTGTCCACCCTGAGTATGAACTCGTACCGTCCTAGCAGCCGGTATCGACCCCCCACCATCCTCTCCGACAAACAGTCTGCGCGAACACTCGTTTATCACAAATCATTCATTTTCGAGAACCCCTTGCAAACAATGTGACGAAGTGCACACGCGCGCGTCGTCGCGCGCGCATGCCGAAATCCTAAAAAAAACATAGTTTTCGCAGGGATTTCAAAATCGAGTGTTCCAGAAACATATATAACACATGGTTCTGCAACATCCGTTCCCAATTAAACGTCTACGCGCGCGCTCCAGCGAATCATTTACAAAATCTTTGGTCGTTCAACATTGCCATCACATGCGACCAAGCGGGCCTCTCGCCCGCGCATGTCGAGATCATTCGAACGCCCTTGTGCGCGTGTTGGGGGGGCACGACCCCCTGTCACAATACTATGCGGGCCACTCGCGTCCCTCGGCCGCGTGCGCATGTCGAACTCTTTATACGACCTTCATGACCGACGCGTGGGCACCATCATCGTGATCGGCATGATCAGTATCGGTGCTATCATTTGCCTTTCCGACGTCGTCGCCATCCTCGTCACTAGCATCGTTGCTAGCATCATTGTGTTGCTGTTGTCGACGTCGCCATGATACCGCGCCTTCCCGAGTCGCCGACTCGCACTAAAGTGTCCGCGCGTCAGCGCGGCCTGAGAGACGCGCTGGGAAGTACCCAGCGGTCAGCGCCACCGCGGCCGCGTCGATCGCGCCACACTAGCTGGCCGCTCTGCGCGCGAGCCTGCGCGCGCTAGCGTGGCCGCAGCGATGCGCCATCCAGCGCCAGGCAGGCATCACCATGGACGCATAACGTTGCGGGCGGGCGGGTGGGATGATTGCGCGAGCAGTGGAGTTGGCAGCTGATTGCGAACAAATTCTAGTTGACCACACAGACTGCAGCACACATATTGCCCCACATAGATTTTCCTTTCTAAAAAGGTATTAGACTCTACCCCCCCCCCGGACTTAACGCTTCCCCCTGGGATGGTATAATTTCACATATATATATATATATATATATATTCTGCACACTCGTCCATCCTACATATGAAATCGTATCATCCCAGCCAAACCGGTATCCCCCCCTGCGGTTCCCTGGTGAAAAACACTATGCGGTGACATTTGTTGTTCTAACATAACATTTTTTCCACGAATCCCTTGCAAAAGTGGGACGAAGTGCACACGCGCGCGTTGCGCGCGCGCATGCCGAAATCCTTCACAAAAACCTTCGGTACCGGAAGGATTTCGCAATCGAGTTTCCAAAAAACATACAAAAACACAGGGTTTCGCAACACTGATTTGCTAAAAAAGCGTCCGCGCAAGCTCTTGCGAAATTTTAAGAAAACCATTGGTTTTTCAAGATTTTCACAAAACGCTACCAAACGGGCGTCGCGCGCGCATGTCGAAATCTGTCGGACGCCCTTGCGCGTGTGCCGTCGCGAGAATCCTCTGCAAAAACTGGGACGAAGTGCATACGCGCGCGTCGTCGCGGGCGTATGCCGAAAACCTTCAAAACCCATCGGTTTCGGAAGGATTTCAAAATCGTGCGTCCGAAAAACCTACAAAAACCTATGGTTTCGCAACACGGATTTTCAAGGAAAGCGTGCGCGCGCGCTTTTGCGTCGTCGTCGTCGTCGTCGTCGTCGCCGTCCTCCCTCCTCCCGCGTCGTCGTCGTCGTCGTCGTCGCCTACGTCGTCCTCTGTCTTTTCTCGTTTCGTCGTCGTTCGTCCTCTTTGCTCGTCGTGGTCGTTTCCGTCGTCGTTGTCGCCGTGGGTCGTCCTTTCCTTCTCCTCCTCCTCCCACCTCGTCGTCCGTCGTTCAGTCGTCGCGTCTCGGTCGTTGTCCCTCCTATTTCGTCGCCGATCGTCGTCGTCGTTGTCGTCCGTGTCTTCGTCTCCTCCCTCGTCGTTGTGCGGCGTCGTCGGCGTCGCCGGATCCTTACCTCTTCGTCGTCGTTCGCGTCGTCGCCGTCCTCCTCCCTCCTCCCTCGTCTTGTCGTCGTTGTCGCCGTTGTCGTCCTTCCTCCCTCGTCGTCGCCTTCGTTGGTGTCGTCGTTGTCGTCTTCGTCGTCGTCGGCGTCGGCGTCGTTGTCGTCGTCGAAGTCGTCGGAGACGTCGTCGGTGTCGTCCTAGTCGTTGTCGTCGGTGTCGTCGTAGTCGGTCTTAAGAGGTTTTGCAAACCAAGTTGCGGGTGGGTGGGTGGGATGTTTGCGCGAGCAGTGGAGAGGACAGCTTCAAGACAGTCAAAGTGAACTGCACCACATAGGTTGCACCACATAGATTGCGCCAACTAGGTTGCGCAGCATAGATCGCACAACGCACAGTGCGCAACATAGATCGCATCACATATATTGCGTCACGTAGGTTGCATCAAGTAGATTGTACCATATGTATTGTATCTATATTGCATCACACATGTTGCACAACATAGATCGCGTGATAGATTTTGACAGCATGTCGTGCCCCACCCAAACCACGCGTATTGCACCACATAGCCTGCACCGCATATAGTGGTACCTCATAGACCGCACCACACATGTTGCTCCACGTGGAGTGCACAGCATGGGTTGCTAAAAACACACCGTTTGGGCCCACGCTCTGCGCACGGGACGGCCACGAGCCCGCCACACCCGTTGGCTTATCTAAATGAGAATCCCCAAGAGCAAACGTTGGATGGGAAATTATCCGAACCAGGGTTGGCCGGAAAGATCGGCTGGGAGGGTTGACCAGGGTCATTATGGAGGGGTTCGGTAGCAAATCATGGGAGTTTGGCGTACCTTGTTAATTCTGTCTGTAGCATCGATTAGCGTCGATGGCAGTCTGGGAGTCGATGAGATAGCGCCGATTTCGCGTCGGTTAGCGTCGACTTGCGTCGATTTAGCGTCGATTAGCTTCGATTAAGCGTCGAATAGCGTCGATTCGCAAGAGCCGACAAGATAGTATAGGGGGCTCCCATGAGTTGCCACCGAATTATCCGAACCAGGGTTGGCAGGAAGGATCGGCTGGGAGGGTTGACCAGGGTCATTATGGAGGGGCCAGGCGGTTTGCCGGCGTCGGCTGGAGGGCTGGCCAGGGTAGTATTCCGTTCGACCAGATCGAGTACAAAGTCCCCTTGGGAGACTATTGTCGTCCTCTCGGGTGTTCTCTATCTTTGGTCGCGACTGTGGTGCTAAGTCGTGCAAAACACTCCCACTTTGTGCTCTCCATCTGGCGGCCAGTCTGGTGGACTGGGAGGCGGGAGCCTCCACAGCGCGGGTCGAACTTTCCTCTCGGATGCTTCTCCCTCCGACTTTCTCTCACTTCCTCCTCCTCCTTCTCCTTCCAGGCCGCCTGAGCAGGTGGAGTGGATGCTGAAAAACAGCTTGACGCCGCTGATCAAGCCCAGAACAGCGCACAAGGTCATGTCTGGCGCCGTGTCGCCCAGCAGCCGCTTCAGGCTGGTGCCGCCCCAGCCGAGGCGCAACGAGTACCTCCTGGACTTCGTCGCCGAGCACTCGGTCACGCGAGCGCAGGGGAGCAACGGCTGGCAGTGGGCCTTCGACCCGCAGAAGATGGAGAAGATGCCGCCAGAGGAGATGTTCCCCAGGGTGTACGAGGGGCTGTACACTGCCAGTGCGCTGCGGGCTCTCGGCACCAGGGTCTCCTGCATCGTGGGCGACTCCAGCGTGGTCTGCTCGGGCGACGTCGTGGAGTGGAACAGGGGCGTGCTGGGGCTGGGCGTCCCTGTTGTCGTGGCGCACGACGCGGGCCACCACATCATGTTCGACCAGCCGCTGGCCCTGGTCGCTGCCATCCAGGCGACGCTGGCGGAGTGGAGCCGGCCGGCGCCAGCGCAGGACG